CTGTCTGGTCTGATCACATAAAAGAACCACTGTAACTCAAATTGCTGAAAAATGTAATACTAGCCATGACAGAAAGGGGGCAGAACACACAATGAATCACAGCTTACTGCATAGATGCAGACTGACAGATTGCCCATGATGGCCCCTGTCCAAGCAGAAAGCGCCTTCAATGGGGACAAGAACATCAAAAGTGGATCATGGAGCAATGGAAGAAGGTTGCTTGGTCTGATGAATCATATTTTCTGTTAGATTAGTTGGGTGCGTATGCGTTGTTTACTTGGGGAAGAGATGGCAGCAGAGTGCACTATTAGAAGAAGGCAGGCTGGCAAATGCATTGTTATGCTCTGGGCAATGTTCTGTTGTGAAACCTTGGGTCCTGGCATTCATGTGAATGTTACTTTGATACATGCCACCTACCTAGAGATTGTTGCATACTGCGTACACCTCTTCATAACAATGGTGTTCCCTGATAGCAGTGGCCTCTTTCAGTATGATAATGCACACTGCCACACTGCAAAAAATGTTCAGGAATGGTTTGAGGAACATGACAAAGAGATCAAGGTATTGCCATGGCTTCTGAATTCCACAGATCTCAATCCGATTGTGCATCTGTAGGATGTGCTGGAACAACAAATCCGATCCATGGAGGCCCCACCTTGCAACTTGCAGGATGTAAAGGATCTTCTGCTAATGTCTTGGTGCCTGATACCACAGGACATGTTCAGAGGTCTTGTGGAGTCCATGCTTCAACGCATCAGAGCTGTTTTGGCAGCACAAGGAGGACCTACACAGTATTAGGCTTGTGCAGTGGCGTACATACAATGGTCGCAGGCCCATCACTCCAGGGGGCCCGGCCATCCTGCGAACCCCTGCGACCGGGTGCCCGCGCCATGTGTTGTGGCCCCGGCCCACATGGTAAGGCCGCCGTGACCGTACGTAAAGGGGCCCATCGGGTGGTCCATGCTGTTAGGGCCACCTGATGGCTATGGATTGTAGTATATTTATACTGGCAGACATTTTGTGTTAAGACAGAAATTAAAAGTGTATACTGCCAGTCATATTCAGAACAGAGGTGACTCCATTTTGTATTACAAGGCTAAGACAGACACAAGATTTCTTTCTCTATCCCTCTATTCATTCAAGTCCGAGCTAAGGAATGCGACTAATGTAAACAAGACAAGAGATAAGGCATGATGTCTAAAGCAAAAGGGGGGTTGAATGCTATATATACACACTATCCACTTATAACTTACTATAAGTATATTAATCATATATAATTAGTATTAAGTTAATAATATAGAATATTCATGAATATAATATCAATGAAGAAATATCATATTATTTAATAATGTTAGTGGAGTATAAATAATCTTAAACACAGTTTCACACAAGAAAACCAGACACCAAATGACAGATAACACTAAGTAATTAATTTTACTTTCTAAAAAAAAAAAAAACCTAACAGAATCTTACAAAGTTGCATTGTAAGAGAAAGGGTGAAATCAAGGTTAGGAGGTGTCAAATCTAAAATTATGACCGAAACTGCAGACACTCAGACTGGGAAAAAGCTTTGAAAATGGCAGGTTCTGTGATGTATAGCAGCCATAAGAGATAACAAAAATGACATAAAAAGCATCACAAATTTCAGTTAACCCAGTATACAAAAAGGTAAATGGACCACCTGACAAAAATTTTCGGTGATTTAATAACCTACTGACCAAAATATAGATGATAGTCTGTAGGGAAGACACACCCACAGTTCCCAATTAGTCCTATCAACTAGTGACGAGCAGAGAATTTTCTCCTTTAAAAGTAAGGACAAAGAGAAGAAAAGAGACTTTCGGGCTCTTGGACACTCTCTGAAACACACTGGGACACAACAATTACACTCTTGGACTATACTCAAGACCCTCACTCAAACAAAAAATACTCTGACTCTTAGACTCACTCAAACTCACACAACTTCAGAACTGAAAACTTTTATATTTGCATTCAAAATTCCTGGAATATATCTACACATCTGATAGAAAATCTACAACATAACAGGTAATTATGCTGGTTTTATTTAATTAAATTAATAAATTTTTACTAATAGTAGGAATATATATCTGGATAAATATTGGTCAGATTTCAATTATTAGAAATCATAATTAGCTAAGGAATATATGGTTATAAAAATTCCACTCCTGCAGGTGGATTAAAGATAACACTGTATTAACGGTAAATTTGCCAAATGTTAGCATTCCAAATTTTTATCCAGAGGTATTGACTTGTTCTATTATAAGATAGTGAATCTTATTTAGGAAAGTTAAAATTTGGCTAATGTAAAATCTAGTTAGAATTATTTTTATTGAATGGGTTTAAGAATGAATGGTAAATGACCTGATATGAGAATATTGTAGCTATAAAAATTGCAATATAACAGGATATCTAGCCTAAGAGGATTTTAGCTAGCAGTAAAAGAGTTAATTCAGTGTGATTTGACTGTCAGCCAAAGTTTTTATTGCTTTATGCTGCACTGCTGTGTTCTGTGAAGTTCTGTCTTCTCTGTGAATTTGGTTTCTAAGTGAAGTGTCCCATCATAAATCTTGTTGACAACTGGTGCATAGAACTGTTGCTTTTAGCTGTTTACATTGTGTTAAACCACTGCCATATTGTATACTTATGTTATACCTAAATATTCACTGATTATTGTCACGCATGTTACATATATTATTTTATTATTATTGTCACAATAAATTATATTTTTATAATTAATTTGTGATTAATGTGTGGAATAAAAATATTCTGGTAAAACTTCCTCTAGGATCTAAGAGAATGAAAATCGTGGGTAATTCTCAGCTTCATATCATTAATCGGGGAACAGTGCCAAGATATAAACTTTTGATATAATAAAAAATATTAAATTAATTTTTGATCACTTTTATGAAAATATTTTTTTTAATATTTATCACCCCATAAATATCCTCACAGGATTTCCAGGGGGCCCGGTCAGCGCTGCGGCGCTTTAACAGCGCGTCTGGGTCCCCTGAGATGACATCAGATGCTGGGAGGAAGTGACTGCCCCGGTCACTTCTCCCAGCTTTCAGACAGAGCCGCGTGGGGGGAACAGAGGAGGGAGTCAGAGTGGGAACTCTGACTCCCATCAGGCCGAGCCACCACTGGACCTCAGGAAAGTCACCCTCATGCATCTAAAAGGTAGGAAACAGGAGGGTGACTAGAATATTTTGTAAATGTGTGTGTTTTTTTGTATGTATGTTTGTGTGTCTGTATGAATGTTTCTCTGTGTGTCTATATGTGTGTGTGTGTGTGTGTCTGTCTGTATATATCTGTCTCTGTGTTTGTATGTATATGTGTGTTTTTGTATGTATGTGTCTGTATGTATGTGTGCTTGTATGTATGTATGTGTATATATGTATCTCTGTGTGTGCGTGTGTGTGTATGTATGTGTCTGTATGTATGTATATGTGTGTCTGTATTTATGTTTCTCTGTGTGTGTGTGTTTGTATGTATGTATGTGTGTGTACAGTGGCGTACATACAGGGATCGCAGCTGCGACCTGGCCTGTCACTTTAGGGGGCCCGGGGGCCCGTCTCCATGTGTTGCGACCCTGCTCGCACGGTGTAACCACTGGGGGAGGGCCACGGATCATTTCTTGCACCGGGGCCCCATGGATCATGTGTACGCCACTGGGCACGTGGTTTCAATGTTGTGGCTGATCAGTGTATAACGCTAAACATTAGATCATCATCCTAATATATTAACTGTCTCACTCCACAAGTCTTTATAGAGACGCTAAAGGCACCCAGACCACTACAGCTCATTGAAGTAGTCTGTGTACAGTGCCCCTATTGCACTTAGTGCTGCAATGTAAAACATTGCAGTTTTAGACAAACTGCAATGTTTACATTGCAGCTCTAAGACAGCCTCTAGGGGCGCTTCCAGAATGTTACTGGACTTTTGATCCGCTAACGCTGGACGTTCTCAGGCCCCTTAATCATGTAGTTGTAATTATTGCAGTTTTTTTTTTTTATAAACTGCAATAATAACTTTGCAGGTTTGACTCCACCTCTAGTGGCTGTCTACAAATATAAATGCTTATTAAAAAAAAATACAAATGAATAACCACTCATAAATAGTATAGGTTTTTAATATATATTCCTCATGGCCCTATACAGGTGTGATTTTCACAGTAATGCTGTGAAAACTGCATGATATTATCCATGCCCTTGTCTTCATAGCTATGATGCCCTTAAAGGAACACTCCACTGCCCAAATCCCCAAAAATAATATAATAAATAAATTACTGTTTAGTAGAAAAAAATAAATGCAAATGCAAATATCTAAAAACAGCTTGCAAAAGCTGCAGTTCTATTGTCTGCATCCCTTGCAAGCCCTCCCCTTCTGCCCCAGACAAGACTTTTTGTTGATGTACATCTCAGACTTCCGAATGCAGCTCAAAAAGTCTTTGCAAGGCAGGTTCTCTAAATTTTATGGCAGGACAGGAGGCTTCATATTTGCTTTACCTTCTTTACTGAAACCTCCAGCAGCAAAGAAACAGTTAACAGAACTTTTCAAAACAACCAATCAGAACAAAGCAACAGTAGTATAAAACCCCTAAGCAGGCTCTTCCACTTCCTCTTTCTTTGCTGCTGCCTCCAGGTGAGCACTCACCAACTCAGAGTTGTCTCTGCTCTTGGTTGTTGTTTTATCCTACATGCTGCTTGTTTATTTAAACAGTCTATTTAATCAGTCTATGTGTTAGGTTTGTTCAGGCAGCTTAATTGCTGGATTTATTTAGGCAGGGTTCTTGCTGGATTTAGCTAGGCAGTCTATGGCTGTGTTTAGCTAGGCAGTCTATTGCTGGATTTATCTAGGCAGTCTATTGCTGTGTTTATCTAGGCAGTTTATTGCTGTGTTTAGCTAGGCAGTCTATTGCTGTGTTATTTCCTATACCACTTCATGCTATGTAGCTGCTGTATCACTTGTTAACATCTGTTGCTGTATTGAGGCCATTTATCTGATAGATTCTGTATACTGCTCATTGATTTATTGTTATTCTGGGTTACTTTATACTGTTTTCTCACTCTGCTGTATGGGGAATGGGTGCCCCTGCTATGATGCTTTGGCTCTGCCTGTAATCTGTTCCCCCTCCCCGGGTTCCCCTGCTGGGCTCTGTCGCCCATACCCTTCTCCCTTATTCCCCACCTGCTCCCCGTGGCCCCTGGCCGCTTGCAGTGCCGCACGATCACCACGCGGTAGGCCGCGCTCTGTTTTTGCAGCCACGGCAGCCATTTTGTTGGAGCCGTGGCGGCCATTTTTCAGAGCCACATGGGCTCTGTGCGTTGCGAACAGCCAGGTCTCACCCAAGAACTGGCCTGCTGGCCATGTGGCCACCCTCCTCTCTCCCTATATCAAGGAAGATAGCCCAGTTTTTCAGCTATCCCTCTACTTACTGTGCCTGTCTCACATGCTGCATATGTAACAGATCCTGGATAGCAGAATCTGTCCCAGGCATGCTCACAACTGCAGCTTACTATGTCTGATGCAATGTGACTAGGTTCTCTATCTTAGCAGTAGACTTGTCACACTTTTTTTTACTATTACATGTGAATCTCAGATTTAAAGGGACATGTTACTGCTCAAATAAAAATCTTTGTTTAACAAGACTATGCCACATGTGTTATATGCTAATCAAGTCTTCCTCTAAGGTTCAGTCTTTTTCTCATAAAAATTAAATGGCCTGTTTTTCAGCACCTAGCTCCCCTGCCTAGGATTTGCTGCCCTTCCTGCAAGGGACTTAAATTTTCCACTACACATACACTTCAAAAGTGTATCCTAATATAATACCTGAGTGGTCTGTGAGTCAGCTTCTCGCTATATGGACCCTCCTACCCCTCAGCGGGGCTACTGGCCTCACATTCAGACCTGTTATTACTGGGGGGTGAACCCCCCCCATCCATATTTCTGGGGCTCTCCCTGCTACTGGACCATAATAATGGACGTGTGACACCATTGTGGGCTGGGTGACCCCCTCCCTCTGGCAACATGGCTACCTATGAGTACCCTGCTAGCTCTACAGCGTCCTGTAAGATTAATGCTGAGGGTGACCCCCTCCTGCTTCCTATACTAATGCTCCGGCAATGTCCTGCTATTATCATACCGAGGGGGTACTCCTCCTGCAGTCTGCACTGCAGGACCTGCAGCGTCCGGGTATTCCCATAAAAGAGGGTACCCCTCCCACTGATTGAGCTTCTGTTCTTACAGTGCCCTGCAATACGCAGATACTGAGGGTGACCCCCTCCTGTGGACTACTCTGCTGGACCTACAGGGTCCCGTTATAACCATAATGAGGGTGACCCCCCTCGCTGACTACACTGCTGGGTGTACAGACCTCTATGATACCACACTGAGGGTGACCCCCTCTTACCTACAGCACTGCTGGATCTGCAATGCCCGGTTCTGGTTATATGAGGGTGACCCCCTCCTGCCGTCTACACTGCTGGACCGGCAATGTTTGGTTACTTTATTATACGGCTAACCACTTCGGCACTACTGTACCTACAGTGTCCGATTATGTTCAGACTGAGGGTGACCCCCTCCCCTGCTGGCCTAAACTGCATGGTATGCTTGTGCTTGTTGGGTGACCCCCTCTTGCACGCTGGGTGACCCCCAGCTGGCCGCACCACTGTACCTACAGTGTCCGATTATGTTCAGACTGAGGGTGACCCCCTCCCCTGCTGGCCTAAACTGCATGGTATGCTTGTGCTTGTTGGGTGACCCCCTCTTGCACACTGGGTGACCCCCAGCTGGCCGCACCAGGTATCATTTGTGCAATCACGGCTGAAGGACAAATCTCCCGTACCCAGAAGGTCACTTGGCCTGTCCTCTTGCCGCTCCGCTGACCTCACTGCCAGAAACCATCGGTGCCCTACAGGGACACTCCACCGGTCATCCTAGACGCTACACCAAGCACCCCTGGTACTCGTTGGCTAACGGATGGATTCATCAAGAGGATCAGTCTTCATGACGGAGTCCGGAAAGGACACCGCAAACACCTGACACGGGGTTTGCACTCTATCTGGGACTAACCAGTGGGTGTCGGTGACACGCGGAAACAGATGTTTCCTTGGGACGAACGGCTTGGAAAGCGGAGAAGACTAAATTCCCACTGGGAATGGACCGATATGACTTATAGGTATCGCCTAGTTGGTTTCTACCCCTGAGAACCGCAAAACGGCCCCTGTCCAAGCTGGACATCAAACTGATGGATTTAGCATCCAAGTGCTGGGTCTGCTCTCCGGAGTTACCCTCGTCTACAAATTGAGCCGACATGTCTCTATTCATAGGGTTCCCCCTTAACTAGCCCAGAGGTCTCTCTGGCCGTGCCCGGACTCCAGATCAAGGTTGCGGAACCTTGGACCGTTCCATGAGAGATACGCATGACCAAAAGAGGCATCCATTCCGACTCATTCCGCAGTTGCCCTGCTGGGCAAAGGGTGCGGTGGAGTGGACTCCCGCCCCATCCCCACGCTACATGCTCCCAGTGCATGTCGTCTGTTGACACATTTTGAGACGGAGGGCACTCATCCCCTCTGAGAGCTGCTCGGCGTTGACGATTGGTTCTCTCCCTCAAATGCATATGAGAGAAACCCGCATGGATTTTGCCATCTACATGGACATATTGAATCGGACTCACTCCAAGTCAACCCAGTTTCCGGTCTTTCATGGAATATTCGGTCCAGGCGGTGCTCCGCCTCCCGAGGACCAAGATGTCCGTCTTCAAGGAAAATACCAGGTATATGCTTCGCAACCTGCGGGTTACACTTAGGGGCCCAACCCGGTTAATTGACCGGTGCCTATTCGCCATGGAAGCCATACCTCAAGGATCCGGTACTATCAGCCGCTCCAACATGGCGCTTTCTCGGGTCTTTGGCCTGGTATGACCAAATCATGTGACCTTCGGATGAAGCTCATTTAAGACTTAATTGATGACTCCGGAGGAGGGACTCCTTTACGCCAACTGCATGGAACTACCTGCAGGTTTGTTCAAAATTCACAGTATTGCTCGCTACCTTCCGGCATGGACTTCTCACCGGTTGCCCACTACGGACTGCAGTCGGATCTCACATAGGATCGCTATCTATAGCTTCTGGACAAGTATTCGTCATTTGTGACAGAATGTATGCGGGATGAGACACTCGTGTGGCGGACGGCTTCACCCGACCATGGAGAGACCCCAATGATTGGTTGCCTCACCCTCCAGGGTCTAGAGTACTGGCATGATTACATTCGGTGCGAACCGCCATATGGAGCGGTTCTCCAACTGGCTGCCGGACCCTCAGCGAGGCGAGGGACGAGTTTTCCAAGCTTGGTCTCCTTCGGGGCGTACGCATCCCGTTTACCTACAGGATACTCTGGGTTTTTGCTTCAGACCGAATTCCTGGAAGTGTCGTTTCGCCTGGCCAAACCACTTCGGAGGAGTCCTGCGTGCTTCCCCCTTTTTGCTCGAGTTTGCCATGGGAAGGCAATCTACGACTCCCTGTCTCTTAATGTCCCACTTGGGATCCACAGGGGTAGCCTGCCACGACTTGTGTTTGGGTCTCAATGGCGGTCCTTATCATGGCTGTCCCCATTGTCTGGCTGAGTTGCCCTCTCAGGGTAGGATCGTATGGGGCCATTCACGTCCTATGTCAGCTAGTGGACGACTCATGTGCGTTTCTCAAGATTCTGGCATTGCTAAGGATCTCTTGGTCTGCAGTCTACCTAGAGGAGTATACCGTACGGGAGCCCTATCTCTTGACAGTTTTTTCCGCTTACGGTTTTCCCCCAGTACATCTTGTATTTCATCGCGTTCTGACGTCATGGTATCGACGTGTCTTCTTCCTTCTTGCCGTTCAGTACATCGGCTTCTGCACAACACATATTTCATTTTTATTCGTCCTCTGTGTCGTACCCCTATTCTCCGGATAGGCCACAGCTCTGTTGACAGATTGTACACGACCATGTAGATCCAGGATCTGGCTCTTTCGTCCGTCTACTCATGGACAGCTGTTTATTTCTGCGTATGGCCGTTTTGGACTGTTTCTGCATCTTCGGTCGCCCGTTGGATTTGGTGGATCCTCTCATTGACTGACCTTGAGTTCCTCTG